AGTTTTTCCTTTTTCATACATTTGCAAACATTTCTAAAATTCTGTTTTCATTTTGTCATTACGGGGTACTGAGTGTAGATTAATGAGAGAAAAAATGAATTTGAACGATTGCAGTATCAGGCTGCAACATAACAAAATTGAAAAAAATGGTGTCCGAATACTTTCCGAATGCACTGTATAAAAAATTAAAAGACCCTGAAGATTTGCGTCTCACTCAGATGCTTATCCTTGTCCTATTTAGGCGCTAATAACTACCAAATCTGGGACTATTGTGGCTGGGTGCCTGAAAACAGGTGATTTCCAGTGGATCCCATGTAACAACTAGATAATCTTTAAAGAAAAATAATAGTTTGATTTTGTAGAATCTTAGCACTCAAAACTGCGTATGTCATTTTTCTCTGCTGAAAATTTGGCTTGATGAGATTTCAGGCAAATGGAGTGAAAAAACAAAAGGATTCATAAAAGCCCAGTCCAAATTCTTCGGGCCCTGGTGATGCCCCGCAACTGTGGTGGTAATTCTGGCTGGTTCGGCGCCGCGGTCCGTTTTTCTGATAGTGATTTCAGCTGGACTGGATGTCAAAACCATCCGTGTCTCACATCCAAATTTTCGCATCGCGGGGAGGCTGAAGATGGTTGGGTCTGGGGTGGCAACGGCTCATTATGTGCGGCCAATTCTGTTTTGTGATGTGGCTTCATGTGGATGCTCCGTAAAAATGCAAAAACTGCCTCATGGCAGAGCCCGGAGAAGACAAACCCGGCACTGCCCTGGCCTGCCTCAAGATCTTTTCCTTGGGGTTGGTTTCGGGTCGTTCCCGGGTAAAAATCGTAGGAAATCAGGGGGACCCGTGTTGGATGACGAAGACCCCTTTACGCTTTGCTGATACTTAAGCAGAACCATTACAAAGGAACCCCAAGAATTACCCCGGACGGTATTCTGAATTCCGCCCACCGAGACTCACTGGCTCCGCGGACAAAGGAGAAAGAAACCGCGTCCCGTTCTCTTCTCGGCCTGCTCGGCTTCTTCTGCTCGCTCGGCCCGCGCTCCTTTCCCGCGCTTCGCGTCTCTCTCGCGCGGCTGAGGGCCCGCGGGGGAAGAAAACGGGGACCGAAGAACGAGAGCCGGGGGCCCCTTCGGCTTCCACGGGCCTCGCCAGCCCCGCTCCCGCGGAGGAAGGAAGGAAGGAAGGAAGGAAGGA